GGTATCTGGTACCAAGCGCTCACCAACTGGTCCTGCAATTCCCTCACATTGCGAGGGGGTAGCGTGGCAGCATGAATTTGGTTTTCCAAGTAGGACCGCAAATGCTCTATTGGATTAAGGTCAGGTGAATTTGGGGGCCAAGACATGACTTGAAAGTCACTGGAATGTTCCTCGAACCAATCCATGACGATTCGACCCTTATGACATGGTGCATTATCCTGTTGGTAAACATCATCCCCCGCAGGAAAAACTGTTGCCATGAATGGGTGAGCCTGGTCTGAAACTATGTTCAAGTAGCTTACAGACGTCAGGGACTGTTCTATGAGGATTATGGGTCCTAATGTGCCCCATGAAAACATTGGTCCTGGGCGAGAAACCAGGAAAACCTGGGCGAGCCCATTGTTATAGATGAAGGGTGGTCAAAATGTAATGGCTCTTCGGTGTATTTGTTCATTAAAAAATTATAATGAATACCAAGTAATTATTGCTGAAAACTGAAATGAAATTATTTCTTTCGAAAAAATATTAAATTATTATTTAGTAACTAGTTATTAATTATTTCATTTCAGTCTCTGTTTAATTTTTAAAAATAGCGTTTCCGCTAATGAGTTTTATTTTAGGGAAAATTTCTATCGATATTCCATGGACATCGCTGTACTACGAGCCCGTGCTCGTTCACATAGAAGAAGTTCTTGTATTGGCCGGTCCCACAGCTGATCGTAAATATGACCCAGAAAGGGATAAGCGACTCTCAAGAGCACACAAGAACAAACGACTGGAGGATGTTAAACCACCAGATCCTGATGCACCAGGTATGTTAAACTACATTCATATGTGGGTAGTAAATGGGTAGACAAAATACTGAATTATTTATAGGAATGCTTCGAAGTAAATTAAAAAGCTATACTTGTTGTAAACAAAATAGGCATCTTAACGTTTCGCGATTTTCCCACTCTCCGAACTTTTCCCCTCTCCATTACCATGGTTTCGGTAAATCTTACTTTTTCCCCATGGCAGTACATTTCTGTAAGCAGATGGAATTTATTGACGTGGGGAAAAGTAAAGTGTTCTGCAAATATATGATAAAGTAGATTCTTATGAAACACTCTATATATATTAAGTGAATAATCAATCGGAACTGTAAAGGAAATGTTAACCTGATACAGTAAGAACTTCCTTTTACCTTAAAAATTATAAAGGTGGAAAATTTGACACATTTTGAGTGCTCAAGAGAAAGCGCCCATTCTCAAGATTCACCAGGCGTGAGTGAAGAAAACGCACTGATTTGAAGAAGAAAATGCAAAGTTGTCCATAAAAAAAGAAAATTGTGATCTAAGTGAAAACAAAACTAGAAAGACCGAGAGGAAAACTAGGGTGGTATGACTCTCGAAACGTTAGGGAGGATTGGTAACTTTATCCCTATTACGGGATCAAACCCATTATTTTTAGATGCGATAATTATTTTTTTCCATCGAATTTGCTCGTTAACTAAGTATTATTAACATTAACAAACTATACACTCTAAATAATCAGTTCAACATTGAAGCAAAATATCATTACCCTGAAACCTTAATATAATATTGAACTGAACCAAACTTCTGTGCAATTTGTGCCATGGTATCGTCTAAAGAAGTTTAATAAGACCAATTTCTCACCATGATAAATTTGCAGTAAAATTAAGCGGTATTATCGTTTAACAAGCTACAAAATTTCTAACAATTTACAATTTTAAATTATATAAAGTCAAACAAAATTTTGAGCGAAACTGTATACTTATTGTGTATAGTGTTAAAATATGTAACTTATTTTCATATGCTTTATTCATTATAATTTTTTTTATTTCAATATTCAAAACCATTTCTTATTATACACTGAGAAAAAAGTATGGAAAAAATACCTGAATATGGTAAAATTTACTGAATTTTTAGCTTTATTTGAATATTAAGAAGCTCAGTAATCTTTACCGAAGAGCTTTGGTAATGATTTTGGTTAAATTATGAACGGTAAAACTACCAAATGAATGATTCAAATATACCGTTCATTTTGCTTTTATTAGCCAGAATTATGATTTTTATTGCTAAAAATATCATTACCATGCAGTATGGTAGTCTTTTTAAAACATTTTTCTCTGTGTATAACTATGCATACTACAGCAATACTTTTATCGATTTCTATTTCAAATTGAGCTTCTGTTGCAAGCTTTAATTGTACATTCCCAAACTTTTAAACAACAACGAAATTATAATTTTAAACCATTTCATTTCTTTTGCATAAATGTGTTAGCCAACAATCTCTTGACAATGTATCATTAAATCGAGTATGAAATATTATACACCATTACACCACATAAATTTATTCGAATAATCTCAAAAAACAATAGCTTACAAGAATACCCTCCATTCAATTTATTTTCTATGGAAATATAAATATATGGATACGCGGGGAGTCACGTTTCTGCCGTCAAATTTGCCAGCAATAAAACCATAAATACCTCTTGTAAGCAAGTGAAAACAAATGTAACCCTCCCGATAACCTACTCATTTTATTAAACAATTTCTCATGCTTCTTCTATTCAAATTTCACTCAATGAAAACGATCCAGTTCACGGTGTAATAGTCAGGCTCGCGTGACAAATCCATAAAAGAATTGTTAGGGCGTCAACTGCATGACCATTGTGGTTTAGACGCGAGACTATATCACCAGACATAAGGGTTATCATGATGGACCTATTGTTAACCAATTCTTCCCTTTAATGCATTTTCTTATTGAATGGACCTGCAAAACAGTTACAGCATGTTATGAATGGATGGATATGAAACAAATTCCTATTAGGGTTTAATGCCATTGATATTACGGGTATTGTGTGATTATTCCAGAGAAATATTTAGAACAGTAGCTCATCGCTGTCTATAGGAAATAGTTGTAATACACCCGTCTTTGTCAATTAAATATTCATAATAGTTTTTTTTTCCAATTTGGGTACGTTTTGTTCCTCTCCAGATTTCAATGCTTTTATTCATATTTATGTATATTAAAATAAAATTACATGATTAAGAGAATGCTGTGAATGAAATGGTAATTAAGAAATGGTAATTACGAAATGATAAACGAAAAAATGCTAATTATGAATGAAATTAAAAGATGCTAATGCGGGAGAAACTTTTAATAGAAAATTTACCTAATTACAAAAAATAAAATCCTGGGTACTTGTTAAGAGGACTCTATAGCATGGGAGGAAAGTTATACTATCAAATTTACCTGATTACAAACATTGGAATCGTGGGTAACTGATTAAAAAGAGTCTATACTGGGGGAGAAACGCTCTTAACAAAGTTACCGAATAGCAAAAACTAAAATCGTCTAAATGAAAAAATTAGAATTACAGGTAGTTGATTAATAGTACGTTATATCAACTTTTCATAGCAAATTTACCTGCTTTTAAAAATGAGAATCGCTTAAATTCGAAAATTAGAATCACGAGTACATTATTAAGAGAATGTTACATCAATTTTTCATAGCAAATTTACCTAATTAGCAAAAATAAGAATCGTTTAAATGCAAAAATTCGAATCATGGATCTCTGATTAAGAGGATGATATTCCACAGGGGGAACTTTTCATAGCGAATTTCTACATTGTGAAAATTCCGGATCAAATTACAATACAAATCACTGGCACCCTGAGGGCAGCATCCGTAAAATCCATTTTACCGTGAAAACTATTTTTACCATAAAATTTTCAAGCGTCATATTTTTACAGTAACGTTTATTTAATTAGAGTAATTCAGTGATTTTAGTGTGATTATTACTGTAAAAATTACCGCGCATATCAGATCTTTGTTCCATGAAAATGAATTTTACAATGAAATGTAGCAGAATCTTGAGTGCTGATGGTATTTTCTAACTCAATTTGATCCGATGATGTAGCAGGGTTTAATGACGTTATTATTATTGGTATTGTGAGATTATTCAAGAAATATTTAATACAATAACCATCATTGTATATACGAAATAGTTGTAATATAACCGTTTTAATATATCCAATTAAACATTCATAATCTTTTTTCCAACTTGTGTATACATTTTTTCTTTCCAGGTTTTAATACCAGGCTAATCTTTTCACATATTAAAATTACAAAAATGTGAAAAACTATTAATAGAAACTATTAAAGAAAACACGATGGGGCAGAAGTAACTTATGTCGGTGATTTCCGTTTCACCTCCATTAGTATTTTAAAATTTAAAGTATAGCAAACGTGAGTTCAAACCTAGAGAAAACCATGAAGTTTCAAATTTTGAAAATAATGTTTGTAGAATATCAAAATTCAATCAAATTATTTCAGAATTATTTCTCCACTACGTAATCCTGAATAATCTTGCCATTATTTGTTTGCATTCAAATATTTTGAAAAAAAAGAAGAAAAGGAAAAACATTTTCAGCATTTGAATTTTTATTGTGTTCTCCAGGTTTACGCGAACGTGTTCTTTCCATACTTCATGTTTTAATTTACTCATGTAAGTTGAAATTACTTTTGATGCCATAAAGTATTTCTCCCGTGATACAGCATCCTCATAAGTTTCTACACCACTTTCAACTTTTCAATTATGGTTTTCATTTTTATTCATTTATGTATGCGCACTGTTAGAAATTTCTCCGCAAAAATGGTTAAATAGCAATTTATTTAATTGTTATTTTACCATATTCTACCTAAACAGTCAAATAATCATAAAAAAGAGGATATGCGAACTGTTAAGTGTGAGAAAAAATGTTTATTGATGGGTTCTCCTAATACAGTTAAACAACCAGAATTCTTTTCGTGCCACCTAGGCCTACTTTACGAAGCCATTTTGTTCTCTGAAACTGAGTACATACTGTAGCTCAGAGGGTTAATCTGTCCATCTCATGACTAGCTGGATGAACAAGGGTTCGAATCCCAGCTTTGATACCATAACATTTCTGCCATTACTTCACTGCATGAAGTGTTTCCAGTGTCCTGCCGTTTTCAATTGGTGACTTTGAACTATTAGAATACGAAACTATCATTAACGAATGAATGGAGCAGCACCACAGAGCTTCAATGTCCAATTAAGTTTCATTTTTACAGTGTAGAACTTATGCTAGTCGTAAATATTTGTAAAACCATATAGTTTTATATTCACTGTATCAGTTTCAAATCAGTATCAGTATATTTCAACCGTATCAGTATTTTTCAACTGTATCAGTTTCAAAACTGTAAAGGTAATAAATGTTCCTTACCGTAAACTTTTTGTTAAATCAGATAGACAGGCAGCTTCAGGTTATTTTACTGTAATTTCAGATTCAGAATCCAAATAGTGTAGGATTAGTTTACCAATGCGATTTATTTTTAAGGCATAGAAAACGTATTTCAATAATCTCAGGATGAAAAAAAATTATTATATCTGGATCGCATGAAAATGTTCGAATTTTCTTCGAATTTTTTTAAATAATTACTACCTAATTACTGAAACAGTTGAACACTTAAAATAGCTTAATGATATTATAATTAATTAATGAGATTATAATAATAATGATATTATAATAATGATGATATTATAATAATTTAAAATACTTCTAATGGAACAGTATAAGAAAAAGCAATGCAAAATCTGAATAAAATGAATTCTCTTGAAATTTTCTACGGTTCAAATTTTTAAAAATCTATTCCAATATATTTCATAAAAATTTATACGAAAAATAGTATTACTATAGTAGAAATTAATAAAGTATTTACAATCGAAAAAAAATAAAAAAATGTAAAAAATTATTTTGTTTTATTATTATGAAATTGTTATCATATCGTTGATGGCTCAAGAATAATTTTAAAAAAATCAGCAGAATTAAAATTACATCAAATTTGGATAGAATAAATTCTCATAATTTTTTTTCTGTTCAAAATTTGTATTAATGTATTTCAAACGAATTAAAATGCTAAAGTAATTAAATTTTAATGTTTCATTCTTAAATTTTTAAAAAATAATTTATTGTTTTTTAAATAATTTTAACGCTTTGAAAACTGAAGGTATATTTGAAAAATAAATAAATGTAAAAATTAAATATATCAAATATAGCATCAGTTCTCATATTTAAAGATCTTTACAGCAAGTTACATATGGAACATCGTTATTGAAATAGTTTTCATTTTACGATCCCGAGATACTGTGACCTACTTTATAAAGAACAAATATTTTGATAGTTTTCCGTATCGAATCATTTTTTCAATTCGTATTATTGCTATAACCTTACAAACAAAAATATAAAACTATGTTTCACGATTTAAGAGCAATATAACTCTAAACCAGACTGCACGGCGAAAACATTTTGATGATATTATTGTACTGTAGGATAAAGACTTTTCCGGTGAAAAAAATTATTCCGGTTAGTAAAATAACGGTATTATAGCAATTAATTTGGTAATATTTCCCTTTATGTGGTTTACCAGAAATTCCGGCTTTCAAAACTATAGTTCTTGCTTCTACACATTTAGTGAAAAATACAAAACTGAAAAATAAATTTAGCCTAATAAATAGATTTTATAGCACGCTCTAAATTATCACAAAAAAATTACAAAACTTTGCTGCTTTTATTAATTATAAAATCATATTTTATTGTTATTTTTTCCGAGTTCATTACTAAAGCACTCCGGTAAAAAGTTCCGAGCTCTTTGGTGCTTTGCATAGAGCCAAAAACATGGTAAATTTTGTAATGTTCTGGTAGTTTAGATTATGCTTTTTGTCTCAGTGCGTTTTAATGAAAAATCAATTTCTTATAAAATAATGTATATAATCAGGATCTTGCCATGAAACTTTAAATTTTACTATGCAAAATAATAAAAACAATACAACTTTCTTTCATGTAGATAAACTAAGGTGTTATTTTTTGTTTTATGTTATAAGCTGATATGCAGTTTCTTTATGACATTGCTATCAGTGCATGAAGGATTCTTAAATATTTAAGGTTCCATAAAAAAGGGTTCTCCTTGTATAAGAGGTTCTCTTTTATGATTTTTGTAAGGGACGTGGACATAACCTTTCTGGAAAGTTTCTTATAATTAAACTAATATATATTCATAAGGAATGAAAACAACTTATTTAAAATTTAAAAAAAAGGGAGAAAAAAATATTATTTTAAATAAATTAAATTCTTAACTTAAATTTTAAAATGTCACTCTTCTTCAAACTTAGAATTTTTTTTTCATGAAATTTTTTATACATATCCGCTATATTCCGATAAATAATGGATAGTATCTGTGAAGATAAGAAATTATTTGAAATTCTAATATAATAAATTCTGTAAAAAACGCGATTTTTTTTATTTATTATGTGTTATGTATTTTATTAAAAAAATAATCTTTGTGTTTGTTTTTTAAAGGATCAATAAAATAAAAAACAATGATGAATGAAAAGCAATTAAAAGCAAAAGATTAATGAAATTTGCCGCATTTTGATTTTAAAATTAATATTTAATTTCGTTTTTCTTATTATATTTGCATGCTTGTAAGTTTTAACACCAAATCCTTCATAAAAACTGATGCAATATTGTATATTCTTTTTAAATTCATTTTATTTTATATTGAAATGATCATAGATCTTTAATTGCAAACAACCTTCAATTCTTAAAACAAATTTTAAAATAGTACTCAAATATAATATTATATCATTAAGCAAGTACGAATATCTAGTTAACTATCAAATGTTTATTCAATATTGTTGAGTAAATTTACTATAAAATTTTTGTTTAACCTTTAACTTTTTTAACCACAGTTTAAAACAATTTTCAAACCGATATCTTGCTAATATCTTAAACATTAGTCACTAAACCACAGCCAAATATCTAGTTAACTGCTAAATTATGATTAAATATTTTCTCAAGTTGAATATTTTTAGTAACATTGAAAAAAAACTTAATTTTTTTTTGTTTAAGCTTTTCCTTTTCTTAACCATAATTTAAGACAATAATCAAATGGATGCCATATTAATATTTGAGGTATTAGTCACTAAATCAGCAGCAAATATCTTTAACTATTGAATGATAATTAAATACCTTTCTTTTGTTCTATTTTTTGCTATATTGTGGAAAAGAACTGAAACAATTTTTATTTGTCGAAAAAAAGAACACATTTTATACCTCACTTAATATTTACAACAGAAGCATAAAAAAAATACAGCTAACAAAAGAAATGCATCTTTTTTTACCTGTCGTACTAGCGTTATTCTTAACCCTAATTTAATACAATAATCAAACTAATACAATAATGATATTTTAAACATTGTCACCCAACCAGATGTCACTATCTTTAACTATTAAATAATAATTAAATATCTTTCTCAAGGTATATATATGTTTTTCCCGTTACATTGAAAATAAAACTGAAGCAATTTTTATTTGGCGAAAAAAATGCACATTTTTCACCTCATTTAATATTTATTTCAGAAGAATAAATAAAACTATTGCTGACAAAGCAAATACATCTTTTTTCCCCTTCGTGCAAGCTTTATTTTTAACTATAATTTAAGACAATAATCAAATAGATGCTACAATAATATTTTAAAACATTAATCATCAAACCAGCAGTAACTATCTTTAACTATTAAATGATGATTAAATATTTCTCTCGAGGTACATTTTTTGTTACATTGAAAAAATACTGAAACAATTTTTATTTGACGAAAAAAGTACATATTTTTCACCTCATTTAATACTATTAACATCAGAAGCATAAAAAAAAAACTACCGCTGACAAAACAAACACATCTTTTTTTGCCTTCGTACAAGCTTTATGTCTTTAAATTATACTCAAGAATGTATCCGCTCAAGCGATATCAAATTATCATCACTTTCTCACTCATAAAAGCAAAGCTGTACCATAAACAACTCCGCTAGCTTGTTTTCTGGAATTCACTTTTTTCCCCTTCAAATTGATTGAATCTGTTTTTGTTTTTTTTTATTTGTAGGAGATCGGCCCAGGGGTTTTATGGAAAACTTGGCAACGACGATTGTCAACAATGTCCAGGTGAGTGGAGCGTGAAAGATTGAAAACCAGTCGCTGCTTTTCTCTGATACTTGTCGCCATCTTTGACCCAGATTTGAATGCTAAGATTTTACAATCTTAACACTATTATTAAAATAAAAATACATGATTTTTCCGATACATATGCATAAAATGCATACACGGAGAGAAAAGTTCTTAGAGAGTGTAACATTACCGAACTGTATGGCAATAACGATATTTAAACCATTCATTTAGTATTTTCTCCGTGCATATGGCAACAGTTTACGTGATATTCTGGCGTTTTCAAAAATACAGTTCTTATTACGACATATTTAGTAAAAAATACAAAATTGAGAAGTAAATTTAACCGAATAAATTATTTTTATGCCATGCTCTAAAGTAGCTGTTCCTAACTATTTCTTCCAATGGAACCCTAAATAATCAACCTTCTTTCGACGGAACCCCACTTTTTAAAAAGTTTTTTACGGTAATTGTGAACTTTATTACTTATAAAAGACTATTTTTGAATATTTTATTAGAGATATGAAGGTTGTTTATTGTTAATAATCTTGTTTTACTAATAATAATCTTACATTATTTATACGTCTGAAAGTTGAATTTGCAGTCATTGTGCTATATGTCTAGTTATGAATTTGTTTTTGATGTATAAAAATAAGCTGAAAATGAATAAAATAAGACAAGTTATGGTTTACTTTGAAATGAAAACTTAAAAGAACTGCTTTAAGTTTTGAAAATTTGTTATTAGAGAATTTTATATATCTTTATTAAAGTTGCTAGTTATTTTACTTTGATTTGAAAAGCGTAATGAGAAATACTTATGCAATACTTTTATAAATGCTTGTTCTGAAGTACTTTGATAAATATACTTGTGATGAAATACTTTGATAAATGCCTGTTCAATTTATTCCATCTATTGTTATTGGAAATATTATATATTTTTTTAAAAATGCTATAGTCAGCCATAGTAAAAAGTAATTTCATAAAGGCAACTGAAAGATTAAATAAAGTCTTTAATTGATAAATAGAGTCTTTAATTGGTAATTAATATTTATTTTCCATTCATATACATAACAATAAATTTATTACCTTTTTGATATTAATTATTATTCGAAATTAAGGGTTTGGAACAGTAATTGGCGTTTTTTTAAAATTAAATTATAAAATAATCTTATGATATTAGCTTATTGATGGTATTATTATCTTATTACGTATTTAAATTATTAATACATACAAAATAACTACTGAACATTTTGGAGCAATGTTAAGAATTCACTATTCGCACTATTGCTAAACAATATATAAGACAAAAAATATTTAACGAGAGATTATAGTAACCAAAAATTAAAGTTGCACTGGTAACACAAAAAAAAATATTATGTTTAAATTTTATACCAACACAATCAAGAACTAAATCAGTGGAACTAAGTCTATACGCTTACACAGCACGCAATGACATAAATAATAGACTGTTTTCTCAATGTACAGCGCGTGAAAAAAAACGGACCACCCTGTATAACTTTTGATCCTAATGATCAGATCTTCACGTTCTAGGACTCAATCTTAATGGTTCGAGGGAGTGCCTTAAAACATGCTAATTAATTAGTGTAGACGATATTTTGACTTACGAAATCAGACACAAAAACGTACTTTCTCTGAATAAACACACCTTTTTTTCAACGGATTCTGATTTCTGACCCTCAAAGTGTAGAGGATGGCCAAAACCTGGAAAATATGGTCCCAATAGTTTGGTCAGGAGAACGGTCCAAAGTTTAGACCTTTAAATTTTACTTTTTGCGTATTTCGCCATATATCGAGAACTTTTTAAGCAAATTAAAAAAAAAATTGCATATAATTATAAAATTCGCGCAGTTAAAAAATGTACAATTAAAATTTGGTCACAATTAAAAAATATTTATTTAAAAATAGTCGAAACAAATGCTTTGAAATTACGTAAAAACGATTGTATACCTTGCAGTTCACAATTTTTGGACTATTATTAAATAAAATAATAAAAAAATTAAAAATATCTACTAAAAATTTTTTCGCATGGAATTATCTTTGAATAAATGAATTTTATAATTTTGTGAAAAAATTTTTCCATTCGCTTAAAATGTTCTCGATATAGTATGGTGAAATACGAAAAAAATTAAAATGTAGATAATAAAGATAAAATTAAAATTAAAATGTAGGGGTCCAAATTTTGGACCTCTCTCTTGAGCAAACTATGGGTACAATATTTCCCAGATTGTGGTTATTCCCTATATTTTAGTGGTTAGAAATCCAAATCCATCAAAAAAAGGTATGTTCATTCAGAGAAAGTACGTTTTTGTGTATGATTTTTTAACTTAAAATATAGCCTGCACTAATTAATTAGTACATTTGAAGTCATCCCTTCAAACCATTAGGATTGAGTCCTAGACTGTGAATATCTGATCATTAGATCAAAAGTTATGCAGGGTGGCTCGTTTTTTTTCCTTCCTTTTTTGGCGTACTGCACAGTACCATTCACAAAGGTGCGATTTCCACAGCTGATTCCGACAGCATTTTATCTCACTAATTTGTGTGAAACATTGTTTTGGAAAAAAGTCTCAATTTTAATCAGATAATTTTAACATATTGAATTTAATTTGAATAAATTTAATTTAGATTTCAAAAGTAGTAAGCAAAAAATGTATTTAATTCAAATAATTAAAAGAATGAAAAAATTATTAAAGAGCATAAATAAATTAATTAATTAAAATTCCCAAGATTTTCAAATCTAGTTCTAAAATTTCATTCGTCTCTGTTTAATCTAATAAAATGTAGCACTGCATTTGCCTCTAACAAACGTAATATATATAAACGTTTTTGTAGGTCTCTCTCCAAAATGTTCACATTCGTTTCGAAGACACAGTTTCCACCAGTGGACCTCTTGCCTGTGGTCTTGTTCTTCAAAACCTGACGGCAGTAACTACCAACAGTAAATGGAGAGCAACACAAATAGACGCAGAAGCAAAGAGTTTGTTTAAAGTAAATATTTGTGTTGTGTTTAAAGCAAATACTTTCGAGTATAATGTTTGTTCGGTTGTGTTTGAAGCAAAGAATTAATCCAAATTTATCAGAAAAAAGGTACGTTTATTCAAAAAAATACGTTTTTATGTTTTTTTCTGAAACTTTACCTTCTGCAAAAATTAATTTGAATATCAAATTTTTTTTTTCAACATTGCGATTGTATGTAAATGAAAATTTGATCAAAAGTTATTTAGATGCTCTGTTTTACATTTTGCGCTGTCTAAAAAAATGGAAGTAATTTAGCTATAACAAATGTAATGTGGGAGTTTTGTACCGTGTTCCAGTTGCCCCCATTTCAAGAATTTGTGCATTCAGTATACGTTGTTGCTATTTCTAATGCTTCTTGCAATACCAGCAAACCAAACAAATTTAAGGCAGAGGGTGCGTTTCTTGTTTTTCAGTGGCACAATCTATGGTCAAGAATACGACTTCAACCGTTTTAAAAGAATGACCCATTCATGCATTCATTCTTTCATACAAAGAACGTAATTTTGACTTGAACAAGAGAACGATAAATCTCCAATTCAGTACCCCCAGAGTTATAATTTGTGATGAGAAGTTCGCGGACTTTGTGACAAGACAAATTTAGACAAGATGCCAATACCCTACCAACCAAGCTCTCCCGGCCTTAGCGTATGTTGTTGATACCTTTAGCCTACTATACTATCTGAAGTATTGGTGACCATTTCAGGTTTTCCCGGCATGTGTTAGAAATCTTTTTTTTTTCTTCTGTAGCTGCTGAGTAAATTCTTTTCAATCAATTTGATAGGGAAATAAAACAATTTTACTTTATTTGAAAATAGAATTAATGTGATTAAATACCCAAATATTCAAATTAGTTTAAGGTAATATACTAGATTTTTTTTAAATGATTATTTTTGTTGGGCATAACAAAATTGAAAAAGTGTTTGTGTGTTGCACCTTGGACCAGTTTCAGTATTGCATCTTCTACCAGTCCAAGGTGGGGTAAACAAATCCACTTAGCACAAATATTTGGATTTTTCCACTAGTAATGTTTAAAATGTTTATGCTCTTAGTAAAGCTATAAAGTTTTTGAAATATTCCGATAAAATATTATTTGTTTTAGCGTTTATGATTTATTTTATCTTATGTTCGCTAATTAAAAATCAAAATCAGTATTATCGAAAGGGCAATATTCAATGGTCCATGTCACATCATATAGTGGTCTAAGATATAGCACCATGTTGTACCTTGAACATTACATCAAGTGCATGACAGAATTCGTTCCCGTATATATATGCAGTAAAAAAGTTAAAATTTGTTCAAGGTACAACTCTCTTTTCTGTATAAAGTTAGCTTAAAATCACTCGTCAAAAAAAAATCCTTACATCCCCCATACTGTCAAAATTCCGGATCAAATTACGGAATAATGTATCGGCACTTCGGGTGCATCATACGTAGAATCTATTTTTTCGTAAAATTCAGTTTTACCCCTATTCAGTGAATCAGAGATTTTACGGTAATTATTACAGTAAAAATTACGGTTTATCAAATTTTTTTGTTCCGTATCATGTTCTGGTTAAAATTCGATTTAACTGTAAAAAGTACCGGCATCCTGAATGCCGATACTTTTCGCTGCAATTTGATTCTGAACTTTTTACAGTGTATGCCCATAAATAGTAAAAAGATTCTCAAATAAAAATATAGTTCGATTAAAAAGGATTGCTTGTCAACTTCTCAAACTAGTGAAATGTTGATTATAACATATTGCTTTGGAGAAAAGAATGAATATTCATCGATACCGATGAAGGGTAAATGGTTTGTGCATGCTTAATACCTAAATGGATTTTATATTCGAAGGGAGTATTTGGGCAACTTACATCAATTTACATTTCTTATGCTTCTTAGAAACCTAGATTTAGTGAAATTAAATTGATTATCATTAACGAGTACGTATTCCAAATTACTTCTCAGACACAAACAAACTAAAGATTTCAAGATATTTCAAGCATAAAGCACTTGCACCATAAAATAAAGCAAAAAAAAATTTTTAAGAGTTACTTACTGCGTTCTTAAAAAATGGGAGAAATAATCCGTCGTAATAATCCTAAAAAAATATCCTTCGGAAAAGAAACGCTTCGATCTAAAACGTGAGATCGTGAAGTATGTTTTGCTTCCGGTTTAAAAGACTATCACGTTTTATATCTGTGAAAAGCTTTTGCCACCATGTTTACTAAGTAACAATAAAAATAAGTATAAAAGGCAGTTCCATTTGAAAATTGACGCCGTACTTTCTGCTTCGACTAACTTAATCGAAAAGCAAATGACTGCTAATGAAATGTCTATGAAAAATGCCTCAAAATAGATTGTGTAGTGTAATCATTTTATTTCCTCGACACTAAATAAATATTTCAAATTAAAAAAAAAGTGGAAGAAACGTTTAACAGTTTTATAGGCAGCTAACATTTGAATGCCGTTTCGTCTGAATATGTTTTAAGTTACAAGATATGATTTTTGAAAGCAAATATACGATTTTTAAAGCTTAAAAGTTGTTTATGATAGATGATAAATAATAGCACATTTTCTTTATACTCTGCTGGAATTTTCATTCTAAAATTACGATAAAATAACCGACAGCAGTCTGTCTATCCAATTAACCGAAAAGTTTATGGTAAAGAACTTTTTTTTTAACTTTTACGGTTTTGAAACCGTTTATTATAGTATGGTTAAGACACCATGAAAAAAAGCTATACGTTTTTTGCTTTTAACTATTTACAACTAGCATGGTTTCAAAACCGTAAGAAAAATTTAACTGGACATCGGACATTCAGTTTTTTGTCATGTGACGGGCAATACAGTTAGATTGTGGTAGAGTTGTGCTTTATTAAATGAGCGGAATGTGGTTTAATTAGTTTATCTGGGTTTTTTCTAATATTGTGAAGACTGGGAAATACTAGACTTTTTGTGTTAAACAGCTTTATGGTGCCGCCATCTGTGTGGGAATAAGAGTATCGTATCCTAATAGCCCAGGACCACAAATTGAGGAGTGCGGAACACTAGAAACTCTTCATATTTTGAAGGTAATGGACGAAATATTGCGTTGTCAACGCTGAGACTAGAAACCCTGTTTTGTTGGTCATGAGATTGATAGATTAGCCCTCCCGGCCATATTATGTACCCAGCTGTAAGAAAATAAGAGGCTTCGTTAGGCGGGACTAGTTAATTCTATAATTCTGGTTGTTTAATCGTATTAGAATAAAATAGTTACTAAACTGTTTTTCTCACTAGTAATAGCTTGAATACCATCTTATTTATGGTTATTTAACTGTTTTATTTGAATGTGGTAAAATAACAATTAAATAAATTGCTTTTTAATGATTTTTTCCGAAAAATTTCAAACAGTGCACTGTAAAACTAACATTCGAAAAGCAAGTTTTTTTTCCCTTTTTTTCCGTTTTTCACAAAACTGTTACCTGAGGAATGGTGCCAACGAATATTTTATCGATTTGAAGAAATTACTGTTCTAACTTTTTTAAAGATACGAATTGCGCAAAATGTATCAGATGTAATTCCTCAAATCTATTAATATCAACAATAAGATAAACTAAATAAAAGAGTATGATCGAATGAGCATTCAGCCGTAGCCAGCAGTTGAATCCGGGAAACCTGCTCGCCAAGTGGACTCACTAATCCCTAACCCTTCGAACCATAAGGCTTTAAATCAGATAGAAATATAATGGAGGATTTCTACAGTGCATTGTGATGACACATGAGTGAAAAAGCTATTTTGTCGAATATTCGAGTTTTCTAGTTTCGTCAAAAATCACGTGACTTCGAACAGAATAATTCTCAAAAGTAAGGAAATGCAACTGAAACAGTAATACATCGTTAAAAAAGAGAATTTCACTTCTGAGAGTGTATTAACAGGAATTATTTTACAAGGGGTTCATTATGATTGCGATATTATCACTAATCCTTATGTTGATGTCCTGTTCGGAATCAATTGATGTCAGTAATGATCGGGTTTTTCTTGTTGCTCATAATTATCGTTAATTCAATATTTATAGTGAGATTAGTGTTCATTATGTACTTTTGAATTACCGTTATTGGTGTTTCAAAAGCCCTCTCACAATTTTTCTCTTAAATTTTAAAAAATTCGTATTTTATGGTATTTTGATATAAAGCCTGGGTAACCACGCAAAATCCTATAATGAAAAAATTTCCGAAAGGGAAAATTACTTTACGTAAAAATGACAAAATAAATAAGTAACGAATTTAAAATTTGGCAATTGATTTCTGATGATTAAACACACTATTACTCGCTATTTTTTCCTTCAGAATTAAGTCTGTTCCCTAGTTGAAAACAAAACTAATTAAATAACAAAAAAAACGCATAATTATTAGTTCCTTATAGAATGATTATATATTTTGAATAAATTAAATAATTCTCCAATAAATCTGAAGAGTTCTTAAACCTTTAAATCTGATCAAGATCCAAACATTTTTAAAGTGGTCCAAGTTTTTTTCTTTTTTTTTTTATTATACATTTTACATACTAGATTCGAGGCAAAGTTAATATTTTACAGTTATTATTTTCTATTCAAAAACCACAATAATATAAACTGTCTCACTATCATAAGAATCGCTGTCATCATCGTCATCGCTTTATAAAATTTTTTCGCTGCGCGCGTTTCTCAATCTTGTAAAGCAGAAACTATTGATTGATGGACGTTAAGTCTGTCGGGTAAGGCGTAGGGAAGTTAATATGGTAGGGCTTTGGACCCATGTTCAAGAGGTCATAAATTCGATCTACTTCGGCCGAAGACTCCCCACGTAGTACATGATGACTGATGTATTTTAAATCTGTAGGGTCCTCCATGTTCCCAAACACGCCAATAACCTCTGGGGGGTACTGAGTAGGAGATTTATTGCTCTTTGGTTCTGGTCAAAATTACGATCTGTGGATGTATGAATAGGTTTGCGAATAAAGAAACAGAGTGTGCCGGGTGTGTATGGCTGAAGTCGTATTCTTGGCGAAAGATGAAGCCACTGATAAACAAGAAACGCACCCTCTGTCTTAAAAATTCGCTTGGTTTCACCAAGTAGACTTGCTGGTATTTGGCAAGTGGCATTAGAAACAACAACAATTATTGATTGAAAAAATATTAAAATCTTGTACATTTAAGAAATTTTATGATGTGGAAATTTTATTGGCTTGGCTATTATGTTCTAAAGCCGTGATCAGAAGTGAAAAAAAATAATACAGTATAATTTTGTGTGCCACCTTAAAGAAAAGGATCAGTACATGCAGAACAAGGATCAGTACGTGCATTCCTACAGGCATTAATTGTGGTAAGTACTAATAAAAACTAATTGAGTTACATGAAAGTTCGAAAAGAAGATTAACAGACTAAGAAAGGCGACGTAAAAGAATTTCTTTTTAATATTCTCCTTCACAAATCATATAAATACTATCACTATCACAAATTTTTATTGAAATTCATTTAAAAGTTAATGTTTTTAACCACGTAAATTAATTTAACTGAAACTGAGCAGGAGATTAATGGTTTTTCGCAGCATCGTACCCCAATATCTGAAAATGATCTACACAGCAATGAAAATTTCCCCTTTGATTGGTATTTCTTGGTTTTTAATTAAATTTTTAATGAACCATAATCGTTTTAAGTAAAACAAAAATTTTATACCTACAGCAGTGTATGAAATAACATACCTCGTGTTTAAGAAAATCTTAATAAAATCTTAAAACAACTTTTGAAATAGGTTCAAGGTAAAATTGTTCAATACTATTGTTTCAAAAACACCATTTTAAGTGTTATGTGGGAATTTATATTTGTTTTCAATGAAAGTTTGAATAAATTCTCATTAGTCGTGTAAATTAATATCTGGACAATCGGCGGAGCTCCAAAGAAAATCTATAATTTGTGTTTAAATTCAACATTAGGCATTTTAAAACTCATTGTTTTTAAAAAACCCAAATTATTAGTTTCGTTTCTGGAATATATTTTTTTAAAAATCCATTCAATTCTAATCAACTTAAATTAAATTTTTTCTCAGCTATTGAAAGTGGAATCGCTGTCCTTGTATTGGAATCCAAAATGTCCAACTAATACTTTAGTAAAGGCGCAACTCAATTCAGATGGTTGGAAGGTAAGGTCAAAAAGTTTGTTTTGTTGTTTGCATCCTGCATTCTATTAATATGTTGCAATATTTTAATGCTTATGTTTGACTAAAACAAAATTATTCTGTGACTAAAACTATTAAATTCTAATTTAAAATATTTAAGTTTTATGTTAAGCACAATAAAGACAAAAAGGAAAAAAAACGAGAGAATAACAAGGAAAATTAAGAAAAAAAATAAGTTTTATTTACAGCGCATAAGCTACAAGTATACAGAACTCATAAAATAGGTTAAAAATATAGAGAAAACATGAAAAAACTATAATAAAGATTCATAAAAAGAGAAGAAGAAGAGTTGCTAAAATAAAATATTTTTTAAATATTAAAAAAAATTATTAAAATATGGAAAGGAATTTATTTCTTTTCAAAATTAATTTTTTTTTTTAAATTTGAAATGAAATTAATTATTTTCCATATTTTTTTTCTTCTTTGTCTGGGATAAAACAAACATACAAATTTGCATCATAATTGATTTTTTATATATATTTCATTCCTACATAATTCGATTAATTTTCCCTACACAAAAGAAATGAGATTTTATTAAGATGATTTATATCTATATTTTTTTTTATAAATGAACAGTTTACTTAAGAAACTAGAGGAAGTTACATTTATCATGTATGCAGTACTTTCTTATTTAATTTTTCTAATTATTTTTAATATATTTCTTAAATTAAACTTTTTTAAACGTAATATTATATCAAAAGTCTAAATTCTAATAGAAGCAAAGGAAATACGGACATCCATATTCTTAATGTGTCATTGCCTTAATGTGTCATTGTCTTGACGTGTCAAAGTCTTAAATAAGTGATGCCTGCTGTAAAAAGCCATTCCTAAAAATGGTATTATTCCTTTTTAGGAATGCCTTTCCTTTTCCTAAAAAGGGTATTATTTTTGATATTTGCCAATATGATTCCTTCAATTTATAAATTTTGGTAAAAGAGTTTCTTAATTTCTATACTTTTTCTAATAAAATTTTTCAACTATTTGTATTAAAATATTTGCATAATGTATACTAAAAGGGGAGTGTAAAGGTAACCCGGCACAACTTAGCTAAACAAATGGCAACAAACGACAATAATATTTTAATATGCTTAATTTTAAGCTAAGAAATCTATAGATATAAATGGAAAAGATATGGTGTTTATTAAGATACAAAATCTGATATTTTATGTAATGGTATTTGATTAACTGATGTCAAATGAAAATATGACTTAAACTGAAGAATTTAAACGATTGAATTATTTTCATTTAATTCTTATTTTAAATCCACGAATAATTATAAATCCTAATTTAAAATATATAATTCTATTTTCAGTACTTAAAGTGTTTTAGACATTAGAATATTTCGAAAATTCTGCTTTTATTAAAAATTAATTTTAGTTTCAATGCTCTTATTTTGACACTCTTTCATATAGATTAGTATAGACGTAATTTAATTATTCTTACCTTTATTAGAGATTGTGATTATAAATTTTCAGAAAATAATACTGAGGAAAAGAAAAAGTTTTTCTGAATTCACACAAATACTTGATCTTGCTTAATTCATGTGTGAGGTTTTCAAATGTGAAATTAGCTACAGAAATTTTTAAAATGACATTTTTGGTCTATTTTAAAGCGAAATGTGCAAGTTTAAAAACATTATATACAACACAAGGGGTCGCGTAAAAATTGCGACAAACTTCTAGAGAGTTAAGGCTCATCAACATAAAAAATTTGCATAAGAATTCATGCCCGGAAATGTCGTCGTACACAGCTAAAGAGGTTTCCCTGTTATGAACTGTTCAAAATCACACGAAAAAATAGTTCGATATAGGGGAAACATCTATAGCAGTGTATGGTGATATTTCCGGCATGAGTTCCTATGCAATTTTAATTCTAATGATGTGCCCTAACTCTCCTAAAAGTTTGTCGGAATATTTACGCGATTCCTTTTTATTTATAAAGTTCTTAAACTGGCAAATTTCGACAGAAAATAGATTAAAATGTCATTAAAAAACTGTAGCTTGACATAAATGATACATTAAGAAAGCTAAAATAATATCTAACAACTTATTTACAAAGGTATTAATTTTGCACTCGACGATTAATTGATTTCTTTATAGCATTAGTTAATTGCACGAGTGTTAAAATTTTTGAATTTTTTTCAATAGACGTTACTTCGTAAAGGCCTTGCTACTTTTAGCATTAACGGAGAAGATTTTGATTTTAGTAAGTATCGTTATATTTAAAATTATTCCTACACAATAAAAAATTCCGAATCAAATTACAGTAAAACGTACCGGCACTCAGGGTACCGGTACTTATTACATAAAAATCTAATTTTGCCAGAACATGAGACGGAATTAAAAAATCTCACAAGCCGTAATTTTTTCAGGAATCCTTACAGTAAAGTTACAGTAAAATCGCTAAATCACTCTAATTAAATTAATGTTAATGTAATAATTCTGGTATAATATTTTACAGTAAAAATGGATTTTACGGCTGATGTAGTCACATTGCCGGTACTTTACACCTTAATTTGATCCGGAATTTTTAAAGTGCACATCATTTAGGAAAACGATTCAAAATAACTTTTTGTTGCTTTGAATTTCTGCACATTAAAGAAAATGGAAAAATAGTTTTAGGATAGAAAAATAGGATAGGAAAAATTGGATTTATATCTGATTTCAAAATATTTTTTAACACTTAAAATAGTTTAACTTTCCATTTTTAATATAATAGCTTTTGAGTTTCCAATTTGCCCGTTTATAACTAGTTTTCGTACATACAGTTTTAGTATATAAAAAAAACACGAACCACCTTGAATAACTTTTGATCTAATGATTGGATCTTCACGTTCTAGGACTCATTCTTAATGGTATAAGGGGTTGGTCTCAAATATGCGAACAAATAGTTTTAGTTGATATTTTTAGTTACGAAATTAGACAGAACATAATTCCTCTGAATAAACAAACCATTTTTTCTACGGATTTAAATTTCTGACTCTGAAACTATAGAGGGTAGTCGCAATCGTATATGGAAAATATGGTCTCCATAGTTTAGTCAGGAGAGCAGTCCAAAGTTCGAACCCTTAATACTAATTTTAATTTTTGCGTATTTCGCCATATCTCGAAAACTTTTCAAGCGAATTGAAAATTTTTGCACAAAATTATAAAATTCATTTATCAAAAGATAATTCCATGCAAAAGGTAAATTTTAGTCAACATTTATCCTTTTTTATTATTTTATTTTATAATGGTCGAGAATTTTAGAATTTTTAGGTATATACTTATTTTTTAAATTTTAAAGTGGGCAAAATGAAAAAAATTTGGCAAAATCGGTCAAAAACTGGAGAAATCAAATTTTAAAGTAGAAGAATATACGATCATTAGATCAAAAGTTATTCAGGGTTGTTCGTTTTTTTTCCTTTTCTCGCTATACATACAGTACGAATGGTTGAATGGTTAAGGAAATGTTAGAAGTTCAAAAAGTTGTTTAAAAGCTCATTTGTTGAATCCGAAAAACGTAAAAAAGTTCGCTTTTCTGCATTGAGAAACAAATTCTGATTAAATTATTGTACTGTATAATAATTACATTTCTGACAAATACAAAAACCACAACTATGGTTAATGAAATAAAAATATGTGGTATTAAGACCATCTGTTTGGTAATCTTTTCGTTTATATGATAAAGCATTTTCCAAGTTCCCATAAAATTTAAGGCTGTGAAATTATTTCTGAATTATTAAAATTACATTTTTGCTCTGAGTATTTTTTCAAAATGAGTAAAGTTTTTTTTAAGCTGATGAATTTAACATTATCATAAAATAATGTTCAGAAAGCAGCATTGAATAAATTAATAAAATGGTGTCTTGTTTTGAATTTTTATTTGCTTAATAAGACAATAGCACTGCATAAAAAAGTCGCAGAGCTAACTGCGTCGTAAAGTTTAGTCCTTTTGTGTTTAGATGTTGAAAATAAGGAAAAAGGAAATGAGGGGAATCACACCTGCCAAACAAATGTTCAATTCCTTATTTTATTTGACTTCACGATTAGTTTGTTTTCATGTATTAATGGAAAATATGCTAAGTTTATTTTTTTCCATTGTGAATTTATAGTATGTGTTATACAATGATATTATTTAATACTAACTGCGTCATAAAAACAATTTTAAATGCAAAACACTCAGCTAAATGGGTGTAGAAATATGGTAATAAGTATTATAAAAAATGCGAAGTTAAAATTAGATTGAAAAAAAATCATTCTCAATAAGAACTGATAAAAATCGATGTAAATTTACCATCAACTGAAAAAAATATCGTTTTTATTAGACTGCTCAAAGAGGATCGTTATGGTGTAACCTTAAAATGTGTTACCATTTATCATACTGTAAAAAATTCCGGATTAAATTGCGGTATATAGTACTGACACTTTGAGTGTATCATCCTGGATATTCCTTTTAACTTAAAATCCATTTTTATCGTAAAATATCATACCGTAATTTCTACAGTAACATTTATTTGATTAGAAGGATTCAGAGATTTAATGGTAATTATTGCTGTAAAAATTAAGGTTTTTGGTAAAATTACGGTACAGATTTTTTGGGCCGTAACGTGCTCCAGTAAAAATGGAATTTACGGTAAAAAGTACCGGCACTCTGAGTACCGGCACACATTATCGTTTTATCCAGAATTTTTTACATAACCGTAATTTTTACCATTTCGTAATTTTTACCGTGGCGTAATTTTTAACATAGTTTTATTCAAAAAAATTTTAGCATAAGGGTTTTTGAAATGGTGCATATTTTGATAGGTGTTTTGTTCATGTTACCTAAGTAAAAGAAAAAAGAGATTTCTAGCACCTTAGGATTTTTTCCCCCTCTGAATTTTTATGTATGAATACGTGGGACAAAAAATATGTCGGTCATCCGGTAGATAATTTTTCACAGTCCGTAAAATGAACAAATCCCGGAAAGATTTATAGCAATATATATATTTCAGCTACTTCTCAACTTAGTCACCGAAATTGTAACACTTGTCAGGCTGTAGGTTAAGTTTGGAGTTCAGTAGATTGTGAAAATTTCCGGAACAAGTAACGGTAAAATGTACCGGCACCAAAGGTTCTGATACTCTTTAAGGTAAAATCCATTTTTTGCAGTAAAAATTTACGAAACCCAGAAATCTGATATACCGTAATTTTTTGCAGTAATATTTCTTGTAAAATCATTGAATCCCTGCAGTTAAAAAAATTATTATTATAAAATATACGGTCGAAAACTTTTAAGTTAAAAGTTAAGTTAATTTTACAGTATAATTAATTTTACGGATGATGCATTCGGGGTGCTGGTGCTTTTTACCGGAATTTTATCCGGAATGTTTTGCAGTGTATCATAAAATGTCTACCACCTGCATGCGTGTTATAACGCTTGTTTTTGGTGGAAAAAAACAGTGCAAGAATTTCTATTGAGGTATAACAGGTGAAAGTCGGTGGGTGCAAGATCAGGTTAATAGCAGTGATGCTCAAATAACTCCCACGCAGCTCTCCCGAATATTGGCGAATTCCATAAAAAAATATGCAGCAGAAGAAACATTTTGGCATAACATTTTTCTAAAGCAAATAACATTTTGTTAAGTTTTGTTTTTGTTTGTTAGAGACATAATATTTTGTTAAAGCAAAAATAAGAATTAACAAAGTAAACCCAAGCAATCAGCGAATAAAGAGAAGATTTTACGTGAATATACTGTGCAATTTGACTGTGAAAAATATAAGAACTAATTTTTTTTTGAAAAAAAAGAAGCTATTTATTTTATTCATTCCGACAGGAATGATTCTTAAATAAACACAAAATAATATTAAGCTCGCATTTCATAACGTTGTAAATCGATATATTATTTAATTTAGTCGACTATAATGTATTAATAAAGGGTTCAATTAATGTTTTGTCTATGATTGATTCAAATTGCTTTAGTATTATTTTTTTAATTATTAATAAGTCAGTTTTTTTCATTTTGAAATAGTTGAAATATTTCCAACAAAGTCTGTAAAAACAAAACTTCAAACTGCATGCATTCAGAACATTCCGAATTTAATTTCCTCAAGGTTAATTTTAAAAAATATTCCTATTCTTTGCTGAACAATAAATTATATTTTAAGACTAAAACTGTTTAAAGTTGAATAACTTCTCGCATCGTTGTTTCTTAACCCGTTATGTACTAAGAGAAATAAGATCGAGTTGTGGAATATCTCTAGGACCATCTCTGCGAATTAAGGTAAACAAGGAGTAATAATTTAAATAAATTTTTGAAATCGTGTCTCCGTATCTTATCAGTTGGGGTGAAATGCAACGGTAATGTTCAAATCGTGCAGCAGAATACAACGATGAGATTTATGAAACCTCCTTAATTCAACTCTAACGATTTATTACATTTTTATAAAATGCAATTATGATATACTTTGTTTCTGATTGAGAATTTTCGTTTAACTTTATAACTATGTATAGGTAAATACACTTTTTTAAAACCTAAACTGATAAGATAGATATCGGAGAGATTTGGGGTAAATGTAATTGTATACGAGAAACTGTTTAAAATTGGAATTACAAAGAATATTATTACCGATTAAAATTTTAATTGTGATTATAACCAATCGTAATTTGCGGTTATAATTATTATTCTTTTAAGGAAAAAAATTCTGGTAAAATTACCGTTCTGAATGATAATGACATTCCTGAAAAAAAAACGTAATTCTTGGTTAATAAAACCAAATTATGTGGTATATAAACCAATCAATTGATAATTTTTCTGTTCATTAAGTAACGGCTTATCGGAATTCCGGTTCTCAAAATTATAGTTCTTAATACTACACATTCAATTAAAAAATATCAAAATGAAAAGCAAATTTAACCGAAAAAATATTTTTATATCATGCTCAAAGGTATCATGCTAAAATTAATAAATTTACAGAATTGTATAACATATTACAAAATCAACCTTATTTTATTGTTAATTTTATCAAATTATTATTAAAGCCCTTCGGTAAAAATTACCGAGCAGTTTGATTTTCCCATAAAGCCAGAAATATAGTAAATTTTACTATATTCAGATAGTTTTGATCATACTTTTTTTCTCAGTGTGTTGCTTAAATTAATTACAGTAGTAAAGATCAGCAATTTAAAGTAATTTTGATTGTCGCTGTTATTTTAGTGCGAAGTAATCATGATAAATCATGTAACAGAGTTAGACAAGTTGCAATTGGTTACAAGTAATCTTTATATTTGGAACTGTAAAAAATAAGATCACGTAAGGAAATATCTCGTAAACTATCACTGCGAATTAAGCTAAACAAGCTGTAATAATTTAAATAAATTTTTAAAATCGTGTCTCTATATCTTATGAATTGTTGTAAAATACAGCGGAAATCTTTGCATAATGCAGAAGAATACGACTAGATTTATAAAACGTCCTTCATTCCCTTCTAAAAGGTGAATTCAGATATTATGTTATTAAGATTATTCTTTAAATTTTATTACTATATATAAGTAAACTCGGCTTCGTTAGAATATACACTGACAAGAAAGAGTCACTCGCGAGCATTAGACAGAAAAAAATTTTTATTTCAATTGCGCTAATGTTTTGCTTTTTTTTATTTAATTTAACGACGTGTTATGAATTTACGTCATTATTTTTTAAATAAAAGTTGCATAATATTTTTCCGTTATGGGATCACTTAAGCATTTATAAGGGCCCAATTGTAGGTCCAGTTACCTGAATTTTAGTTGCTCTCGCTTTTATGTTCATACAGCTCATTTTTATCTTACTTAGAAACTAATTTTATCTTCAACTTATTTACTTTATTTTATATTTCATAAACACCATTGAACAGCAGACCGAATTTTAAGTATCAAGGTTCAACTCCTTAGCCTTGTAATTTTGAATCCAACCCAAAAGACAAGGGAACTCCTGTATCAAGCGTTGGGATAAATTAGCCTTCGTTTGGACCTTTTGAGGGAAATAATCCGCATTTGCGTTACATGGAGAGAAAAAACCGCGAATATTCTTGCTGTTAGTCCGACGGTAACGGAATTCGATCCCATGATCCGTCAACCACTGAGGGCATTTTACGCCAACACTGCGTTCGATGCGAGCCCTGAGAAGATTTGAAGCTGTTACTGGTATATTATTATTATAGGCATTTAAAGAGGCTTTCGAGTTTTAAACATTTTAAATCTTTTAAAAACATAACCAGCCCCATCTGCTAAGTTATAAAAAATTGCAGTATTAAGTTTAACAACAGTTTTTTAACGATTTATGATCCTCAAATTTATAAATATTTTTTTTAAATTTAATTTTGGATTTTTTATATTTCCTCATCATTTTATTTTAAAATACTCAATTACAAAACAAATGCTTGTTTTATTTCTCATTAAAATCCTTTTTTTTTTCAGTCGTTAATCCAGTTTCTTTGAAAACGAAAATGATTCTGAATAAATCGAAGGAGCCCAAAGTTCCAAAGTTGTTGGTTGATTTTGTATTACAAGATTCAAATACTCAGTTAACTCGTGAACAGGTAAGTGAGAATTTTCAATAACAATATGCACTGTTAGAAATTTCTAGGAAAAAATGGTTAAATTAAAATTTATTGAATGGTTATTTTACCATATTTAATCAAAACAGTCAAATAACCATAAATAAAATGGTAATCAAACTGTTAAGTTTGAGAAAAACTGTTTATTAACTGTTTTCACCTTATACAGTTAAACGACCAGAATTTTATCGCACCAACTAGAGCCACCTAATAAAGCTACTTAGTTCTTTACGTAGATATTAGCGTAGATATCATAGCCGAGCGGGTTTACCTGTCAATCCCATGACCGACAGAACTGGAGTTCGAGTCCTAGTGTTGACACCACAATATTTCCTCCATTCCCTTCGAAACATGAAGAATTTCCAGTATCTGGCGCTCTTCAATGCCCATTGCCTTACGAAAAGTAAAGCTCCTATGTCAAGCTAAATAATAAATTTTTTTTACGATTTTGAAAAATGCTAGTTGCAAATGGTGAAAAACCATAAAGGAAAAAAATGTTCTTTACCGTTATATTTACGATTAATCGGATGGACAGACAGCTGCCAGTTATTTCACCATAGTTTTAGAATGAAAATTTTAACAGTGTGTTAGATAAGATAATTAAGCTACACTTTAAATAATTCAGAATCAAATTATTATCATATTACTATTGTTCACTAATTTTAAAATTTGCATTTAACATTTAATTTATTTATTTATTCTTTATTCAATTTATTTGTTTATATGTCTGTTACTCAATATTGACAATTATTTTGCAATTCAAAACGTATTGAGTATCACATCAAAATTTTAAGCTGGATTTATGAAATAGACCTTGCTATTTAATTCTCAGGAGTTGCTACATTCTCTTTTGTTGTTTAATAACGTACACTTCAAATTAAACTGATTTTGTATTTAGGGGACGTACTCAAGGAATGTACTTTTTAATATTGATACTTCCACGTTAATAATTGTCAAAAGGTAAAACAAAAAACGATAAAAATATTTATATGATCTTCACTGTGAAACATTTTGGATCAAATTACAGTATTAAAGTACAGGCAATTTAGGCACACCATCCGTAAAATCCGTTTTTACAGTAAAATATTGTACCGTAGTTTTTACTGTAATATTTATTTAATTAGAGTGATTCAGTAATTTTAATGGTAATTATTACTGTAAAAATTACTATGCATCAGAATTGTTTGTTCCGTAGCATTGGAATTACGCAGTAAAAGATTCCGACCTCCTGAGATCATTTAATTCTTACCGGAATTTGATTCAAAATTTTTTACGGTGTACTCATTATAATCTACGTTTTTAGTTAATAAAATGAACCATAAATAAAACTCTATTTATACTGTAAAAAGTTTAAAAAAATGAAGTATAATTGGCAATTCAAACATTTGAAAATTTTAATTTAATGACTTTTTCAAAGCAATATATGGATTTTAAGTTAAATTTTTAGTTTACATAATAAGTGTAATACACTAAAATGATTATTTGCAAAATTTTTAAATAAGAGCGAAACAAAAGACTGAAAATGTTACGAAAATTCTCTAAAAAAGTGTATTTTGATATTTTTGTAATTTGCTTATATAAGGAGTAATAATTTAAATAA